TATTAGTTCGTAATGGGCCGCCCTATTTCTTATCGCCACAATATCTTGGTGGCTAAAATTTTCAGGATCCTTTAAATACTCATAAATGCTTCCAAACTCAGGATCCTTACCCAGTTCGGTTATTACAGTTTCTCGGGAATTTATTGTACATGCTGTGAGCATTGCCACCTTTACGGTATTACCTTCTTCATCTATTTTAATTCTGGATAGGGCATCTGCTACGATATTTTCCTTTCCGGGGGTATGCTTGATTACCAGATTATATTCTTGTAGCTTGAGTGCCCATCTTATTAACCTTGGGGATAAATTTTTCCCTGAGTACAATCTAGTTACCGCCGCATGATCAGAGTAATACACTGTTATTGGCGCCTTTCCAAAATAGACTCGGAACTTTTGCACTGCTAACAGAACTGCAAGTGCCTCTCTCTCGGTCGCGGAATAGTTTCTTTGTGTTTGATTTAAAGTTCGGCTAAAAAATGCCACGGGCTGCTGATTTTGCGAAAGTACCGCTCCTACCGCATAATCCGAAGCATCCGCTGAAATTTCTAAATTCTCATCCTTTTCAGGAAATTTCAACACAGGGGCTTGCGTTAATGCTTGTTTTTAATTTTTCGAAAGCACTATTGGCTTCGGCCGTCCACGAGAATCTTGCCTTTTTCCTTTTTAATTTTAACAATGGCTCAGCAATAGCCTGCAAAATCTTTTATAAAGGACCTATAATATGAACAAAGTCCTAGAAAAGAAGAGAGCTTCTTCGCCGTGTTTGGAGTCGGATACTTTTGTACAGCGATTATTTTTGATTCGTCTGTCTCGATTCCTTTCTGAGATATTTTGTAACCTAAATATTTTAATTCAGGGGCTGCAAATTTGCACTTTTCGACATTAACTTTTAGACCGGCCTCATTTAATAAAGAAAACACCTGTCTTAAATCCTGTACATGTTGGTCGAGATTATCACTAGTAATAATGATATCGTCTAAATAGATAAATGTGGACTTTCCAAGAACAGGTCTTAACACAATGTCCATACATCGCTGAAATGTTGCCGGTGCCCCTGAAAGGCCAAACGGCATACGCAAAAATGCATAAGTGCCAGACTTGGTTATAAAAGCAGTCTTAGGCACGTCCTCAGGCCTAACCCCTATTTGAAAATAACCAGTCGTTAAGTCTAAAGTCGTCATAATATTTGGTTGGTTGTTATGTTCCTTAGAATTTCTTCAATAATAGGTAACGGATATACCGGATATTTAGTTATGGAGTTTAATTTACGGTAAGTCAATTGCGAATCTCCACCTTTTTGGATGTGTCAAAGGATAGTCATTATTTTTCTTACATAAAACCACCGGGCTAGCATAACTACTTGAGATGGGCGTTATGATCTTTTTACGTAGCATATCGGTAATATGCCATTCTATAATTTTTTCCTTATTCTTATCATACCGGTATGGTTTTGTGGCGAACTGGCATTGAATCTCCGGTGTCAATACTATGGTTAGTAACCTGAGTAAATCCTGGAATATCACTAAATAACGAAGCAAATTCACTTCACTTACCACTTGTCGGATTCTTCGTTGCTCGTCATTAGGCAGGTGGTCAAGATTTAACATCGGCGGTTCAGCCTTTTCTCCACGAACTGGTTTCATCATGTCAGCTTAAGGGACGCTTCATTAAAATCCAGTGTTGCTTGTGCCTCTGAAAGAAAATCTATTCCTAAGATTATATGTGTGCTTGCAGATTCTTTACTATAAAAAACATCACCTTTACTTGTTCGTCCTTGATACGGACATACAGCGGTACTTTACCTATACACTTACATTTTTTCTCCTTGCGCCGCTAACACTGTCGTATTATCCGAATTATATATGCGGTATTTTTTGCGAAAATACTTTCCTAAAAAAAAATCTTCTGCCACACAGGAACACTGCGCGCCTGTATCCAGGAGTGCGGTGGCTGGGATATATTATTCACCAACAAGACTTCAATCTTCGGAAGAGTCAAATTTTTCACCATTACTGTATTTAACTTGTAGGAAGAGGGGGTTTTCGTGGCCTTCGGATTTCCGCACCCTCCGTCAGCAGAAATCCGTTTTAGTTTAAATTATTTTTCATTTCCTTCTTTTTCCACTGGCCTTGAGACTTTTTTCCTTTTCCTGGATTGCTATTGAACTGTCGACGTTCGCCGGCTGTTTTTTGAATGCTCGGGTTTCCTTGCCCACTGATTCGCTTTTTGCTTCCGTAGCCGTGTGCTTGAGTTTGCTGTAGTCTTGGCGCACCAAATTGGTTTCGCTGTTGATATTGGCGTCTTCTTTCGACGTCCGCCGTTCTTCTACTTTCAAACTGGATTGCTAGCTCAAATAACTTTTCCAGTGTAGTCGGATTTCTTAATTCAATAAAGTCTTGCACTTGGGGCAGTAACCTCGGCAAAATCACTTGAATTATTCAGGATCCGGACGGTTTCCATACAAGAGTTTGAAGACGTGAATTTTTCTTAAAATAAAGCTTGAGAGATTTTCGATTCTTTGTTGATATATACTGAAAAGTTCCGTTTCTAATTTCGCACGATCCCTTACAACAGGGAAGGCTTTTAGTAGGGCAGTCTTGAAATTTTCGTAAGTATAGGTGGGACTTCCTTCCTGCTTGACCCAAGAGACTTCTTCTGCCTATACATTTGAACCAGTTAAGCGCTTGGCCCCTCAAAGCGCTGGTAGCTAAGGTAACTTTTTTGAAACTCGTGCACGGGGTAGAGCATGAAGTGGTCATCCAATTTTTCCAAAAAACTGGTTACCGGTGAGTTTCCATTAAATGTTGCTTCTGGTTTCATCGAAGCGCGCATGGTCTGGACGATGTAACCAAATCCTTCCAGGGCGGCAGCTGGCATTTCTGGATTCTGAGCCGTTTCTGCAGGCAGCACAGGTTCTTCTTGAAACTCGGCCATGGTTATTCTTCTTCGTTGGGCGCCACTATCAGGTTCAATGTTCCTTCTTACCTTTCTTCGGGAACATGCAAGGACCTGACTCGGAACAGAGAGCTTACTAAAGCTATGTTCAATAACTGTGGGAAGTAGACAGGATACACAAGAAGGGTATACAAAACCCTTTATTTTTCTCTATTTTACAATAACTTCCGTACTTCGGAATACAAAGACCCACTACTTGTGGGTCTAAACGTAAAAATATAAAAAATAAAACTAAACTCTAATTTAACTTTAGAATAAAATAACGTGGAAGATTGGCCTTATATTAACAGGAAGCGTATGTAGTACAGAGAACTGTTGAACACTACAATACGTTTAAAATTATCAAGAGGATTAAAACCTCTGGCCTGGAAGGCAAACCAGCAACTGAGCGTAAAACTTCTAAGGTAAGCGGCCTGCTTCGACTAACTGCTTCCTCTCTCTCGCTTGGCAAAAAGCCACAACTTAAATACTTGGCGCTCGCCAGACAAACTTTGCATAAATACGTTAACGCTTATAATTCTGGCCGGAAGTAGAAAATAAGAAGTGATAGTAAAGATTTAAAATAAAATAAACGTTAGTAAAACTTAAGATCCTTACAGCTTTACCCACAGTGCCATTAATCTGTGAGACTCCATCAGGACAAATCTAGCAGTCACACATCAAAATCCACTATAAATTTCCTAAAAGAAATGGAACAAAAAACTGGTATCAAGGCCATACCCTTCGCTGATATCCCTACTAAATCTCCCGATGTGTCACCCATGGATTTTTGTTCTTTCGGACTTTTAAAAACTGCATTATCCAAACGTTGTCCCAAAACCCTGACAGGACTCTGGAAAGCTGTTCGGGAAGAATGGGATAGAATACTTCTTCTGCCACTTCAAAAGGCATTGTTATCCTGGAAATTGCGGTGTCGAAAGATAGTTCAGAATAAGGGATGTCAAATAGAACATTTAAAACACAAGAATTTTATGTAATTTAGTTTTGTGAGTACAATATACATCGTCTAAAAAATGTGTGAACAGCCTCTGAATTACAGTTGTATTAAATTGTTATAGAAATCAATATCAACAAGATAATTAAAAACTAATTGGGAAAACTAATTATACCTTTTAAAAAATGGATTATATTTCACAATATGTGTGATGAATATTTCCAGGACATCAGTCTTTCTTTTATTTCTTTCGTTCTTATTATGGAACATGGATAATTTAGTATGGAATAACATATGTTACGATTTACAGCTTACTGTGGCAATGTGCTGATGTAACATGATCTGATGAAATAATGCGATATGTGATGGGCTTTCATATTTAATTGAAAAAGTATTTGTAGTTCCGAATTTCTACTTTGTTCTACCATTCTGAGGGAATTTACCAAAAGCTTATGCTCTCTCTGCAAGAGATGGAAAATATCTAAATCTGAGTTTCGTATGCTATATTCCAATTACGATGTATTCGAAATACCATATTTACAAAACTCCGAAAGTCAAATTGTAATCCTCAAGAGAATTAAAAACATATTATTTTGGACAACAACCAGGTATCCCAACGAAGAATTTATCGAGTAACCAGTTTGTTATTCATACAACTGATGAAATCTTCTTATTAGCGGATTATATTTCACTACAGGAGCTGTGGCAACAGCTTTTCTTGGCCTTAGGTTTAACTTTATTTTTTTTTTTTTAATTTTTTTATTCTCATTTCCGTAATCCAATATGGAATAATATAAGATGCATGCTGTAGCTTTGACGTACCAATGAAATTTCATATTATCTTTTTAAAATTAAATTTATGCTATGTTATATATTGCGTATTAAGAGATGCAAATAAAAGTAAAGTCTATTGCCATGACGACTTGCACAGTTATTTGCCACATAAAAACCAGAACTTTAATACGTTTACCCAGTATGATGTGGCTACTTTTAATTCTTCCCATGCAGTTTGATTCTGTTCCTACATAATGATTTTGGTTTAGAAATTTACGCAAAGTAAATTATACATAAACTGAAAAACCTTCTCATAAAAACGCGACTTACTCAGAGGTACAAAAAAGAACTATTTATTTTATAGTAGTTCCGCCCTTTGCCCATAACTGCCGTAAAGCTTCTTCCAGATCTCGACGGTAAATGTCCACCGAAGTGGTTAAGCTTAAATGCAGATGTTGGCAGTCCGGTTCTTTAAATAGGAAGGCATCGTACAGAAATTTCCGAAGAGCTCTATTTTCACTTTTTGCAATTTGCAGCTGATCCTGAGCGGCCCTGAATTTCAACGCTGTCATCTTTCCGACTTTAGGTTCTTCTCTTTCCCTAAAACAGGGGACCGAAATGGATTTTTTTTAGTAACATGAGCAGAAATATATGATTACAGTTTTATGGTCATTTTAAGCACAAAAATTGACGTTACAATTTTTTTTTTTTTTTTTTCTCCTCTCAGCACAGAAAAGGTTACAGCCGAAACCATCGCGCACGAAAACGTCGCGGAGAAAACAACGCAAGGCGATAACGTCGTGGTACAAACCATCGTGGAAGAAAAGAAAACAAAGAGAAAACATCGCAGTAAACATTGTGGTACACAATATCGTCATCAAAAATAAATCGGTTCAATAACTTCGCAGTTTAAAAATATCGTGGTAAAAAATAAAGCTCCTACAAATCATCACATCACGATAACATCGCAGGCATGGGTTTTTCAGGCTTTAAAAGTTGTAAATGCATATTCACATAATGATTTGTGAGCGCAAGAAGGAAAGAAGAATATATTTACTTTTATAATTCATAATTTTGAATGAACTAATACATTATTTGCTAAAAAGGTGAGAAGAAAACCTAAGTATTTAAAAAATGAAAATAAATAGAAAATTAATGCAACTTATAGATAGCACTTAACAGAAGTTTTGAACTTACATAGTTAACTAATAAAGGTCTATAAAAGTTGCATTAATTTTCTGCTCATTTTCAGTTTTTAAATGCTTAAGTTTCCTTCTCACTTTTTTAGCAAAAATGTATTAGTTAATTCAAATGAATTATAAAAATAAGTAAATTCTTTCCTTCTTGCGCTCACAAATCATTATGCGAATATGCATTTACAATTTTTAAAGTCTGAAAAAAGCATATCTGCGATGTTATCGTCATGCCATGATTTGTAAGTGCTTTAATTTTTACCATGATATTTTTAAATTGCGAAGATACTGAACCGCTTTATTTTCGGCAACGATATTTTGTACCACGATGTTTCCAGAACTGTGATGTTTTCTCCTTGCTTTCTTTTCTCCCACGATGTTTTGTACCACGATGTTTTTGTATTACGTTGTTTTCTCCGCGATGTTTTCGGCGGAGACCCACAGAAATATAGTTATACTCTAAATTTCTATGTGAAAAAATGCAATGCTAGTCATATTTTACCTTTTCGGGTATATTTAACTGATTTGCTCAAAAAAAAAAAAAAAAAAAACGAAGATAACTTATTAAAAAATAATCTGCACTGATGTTTTTAAATAATAAACTACTCATGGGACTAATCCTAAATTTTCTCGAATCCGAATCATAAGTCTCTCGAATCTTTCATATAAGAATAACATGGGGCGAAACCTCTACATAATATTAAAAATTTTTTAGCCAAACCTAAATCTGAATTCTGCATTTAACAAACCACAAAATTATAGTTCAAAATATTTTACTCAATAATAGTACAGTCAAAAGTCGTTAATTCAGACACCCATAATCCGGAATGATCTATAATCCGGACCTCAAAGCTACAAACTTTCTGCGCATGCGTCGCGGCTTTTACGTGCGTGCGTAAGACCTTCACGGCTGCGAATATGCTTGTGCGCATGCTCATAAAACGTTTACACATGCGCGTTTAATATATAACAGACGGTGTAAGCTAAGCTAAAATTATCTAATTCAGTTAATGTTGCAGATTGCGTTGTTCCTAAATCTTCGAATTGGATCCGGATTATTATTTTTTGCAGACTGTTAGAGCAATTTTATAAAAGTAAGCTTGAACTTTCGATTATATCAAATAGAATTTCCGATATATATTTGTTAATATGTAAAGCATCTAAAGCGAAAGTATGTTTCGAAATCCGAAATCTGTTTATCAATTTCCCGCTGCTCGGTGGGGGGAACGCCGCGGCGCGCAATTAATTGGAAGTTAATCTGTCAGCACTATCCTTATCTTCAGGGCAGATGTTTTTATTTTTATTTGGCTTATAATTCCTTACCAAATGTAGTATTTCATCTCGATGTACTCCGTCTTTGATATGATTTAAAAAAGTTCCTCGTCATTATAATTCGCTTCCGATAGTGAAGAAAGTGACAGAGGTTATTGAAAACGAAAAAATTTCGATTGACAAATTAGTCGGTACTCTCGACACAGCAATTATAGGACTTGAACAGCGGAACTTTGTAAATAAACAAGAAATTATGTCTGTTTAATAGAATTAAAGAGAAAAGTTATCACATGAAACGAAACGAAGCAACTTAAACAACTTACATTGAAAGAAATGTTTAATAAAGTAAACAAATAAATATTAAGCTTTTTCTTTTTGTAAATTTTGATACCCTTTAGATCATAATTGTTCTTTATTTCATAAATTACGGTTTCATATTTTTAATTTTGTAATTTCTGCATGCCATCTTACCAGATTTAAACCGATGATCTAAAATCCGGAAAAATCGATAATCCGGAATCGCCGAAGTCCCGACGAGTCCGGATTAACGACTTTTGACTGTATATCAGTATTTACTTAGAGAGAGAAGACACAGAGGACAGTTAAAATTCTCAAACTTTGAGGCTCGTTTTCTCAACGTAAGTTAAAAAAATATTTGAATAACTATATAAATTTTTTAAAGCAATTTTATGAATTATTTTTAAATCAAGGCAAGTGTAGAAGGGAAAGCATTATTTCAAGATTTAACAGAAATAAGTACTAAATACGGAATAATATTTATTTCCAGAAAATTTTTTTTAAAAAATAAATAAAAACTTGTTTATTCGTAAAAGTGTATTTTCTGTGGTTCCACTCCATAAGGGTGCCAGAACCCTTACACAGGTCCGCCGCCGCTCAAAAGATAAAAAATCCTTCGTAAGGGTGCTTCGGCATAACGGTAGGTGCGCACTTGTCAAGCCTTTCATCCCTTGATTTCCATAAAAAAGCAACCTTAATAAGGGTGCGAGCAGCCTTATACAAAGACGCTCTTATGAAGTGGGATTTTCGTTTGCATTATTGATTATTTAAAAGAAGAGGGTGAAATAAATCTTCCGCAACTTTATCAGAAATTGAGACTTTGCATAAGGGTGCTCGCATCTTTATTAAAAACCCTGAATTGTCATAAAGCTAGGTGCAGATTTATTGAAAACATTGGCTTGGAATGTCACGCAGATGATATAGTGGTTTGGGGAGCCTACTACGGTAACGGTACCGAAGGGCCCGGGTTCGAATCCCGGGTAAGACATGGATGTCTGTATATAGTGTCGGTGCGACATGGCGGCACTTTAAATATGCGACGAGCCAAAAGTCCTCTCGTGTGGACTGGTGGGAAAGGACAGGGGTGGGAGACCCCTGGATCCCCTCACGGGGTGCTCTCCCACAAAATCGGGGGTGGAAACATAAATAAATTGAAAAAATAAATAAAATTTCATAACTTTGGGATTAAACACAGTGATTGAATTTACTTTCTTATCTATCATATTGACGTTTATCATTCATCAACAAACTAAGTCGTCCCAGATAGAAAAAAGCTCTATCCAAGCCATTAATTTACCAAAGTAACTGAGTTCCCCATTCCAAACCTAGTCACTTAGTCATTTGTATTTTCATATCACATTATACAGGGTATCCCGTAAATGTTGCGACAAACTTCTGGGGAAGATAGGACACATCATAAGGATTAAGAATTGCATAGGAACCCATGCCCGGAAATGCCAGGGATAAGTTGTAGCAGAGGTAGAAGATGGGAAAAAAACAACATTTAGTGGTGTGAATGGTGTGACAGCTTGAATGCTACAACAGGTGCTCGAAGTTTGCACAATCAGACGCCAAACATGCCTGAACGGATCTTTTATTGCTGGACATGTTCTTTGATTGCAGCAGGTGCGCAGGCGAGTCTTCCAACGAGATTCCTTTCAGACACAACAAGCACGACACTTTTGATGGCTTCCAACAAAAAGAAATCAAGGCTGGATATATCCGGTGAACGTGGGGGCCAGGGAACTAGTCCACCACGCCCAATCCATCGATGCGGGAATAATCTGTTAATCTACTATCTGTTAATCTGTTAATCTACGAACATACAGTCCACTTCTTAATGACTCGCAGTCGCACAATCTTTAATGCAGACTTGCAAACAAGCCGTGGTTTGGTTGATGTCTGTCGGAGAAGCGCTCTCGGTAAATACGTGCAGCGGTTCGTTCATTACCCTCAACTATTCCATACACTGAGTGCATGTCTGCAAGCTCCCGGTTTGTATATTGTTCCATGCTCTTCATATGGTACTTACCGCTCGAATGAGGCAATCCTCACTTTCCACTAGCACTCTCCTGTACAGCACTCCCTGATGGTGTACGGTGACGTTTCTGGCTTCCTATGCAACCCAGAAATGCGTCGAAGCGTTTCTGGATTTCATGGGTTCCTATGCAATTCTTAAACCTTATGATGTGCTCTACCTTTCCCAGTTGTTTGTCGCAACATTTACAGGACACCCTGTATAACGGTATGTTACCCAAGTATACAACTGTATGGCCGAATAAACCACCAACTAAGCTATTACATGCAGAATGTGCGTGAATAGATACTGTAAAACTGGTCAGATTGTGTCGAAGGTTAATTGAAAGTACTCTGCATCTTCTTTAAAGCAAATATTTAACTCATTTTCGGCTCCGAATGCTAAATTGTAAATGATTGTGTAATATGGCGATTTCTATGCATAGATAATTTTTTGGATTGAAAATTCGGCACATCTGCAAAATCTAAGCTTTTATGCACAACTTTATATTCTGTACTTTTATCTGATGTGTGAGCTACAGTTTCCTAATATATACCGGAATGAAGGTTAGCTTTTAAAGCCGTCTTTAAAATAATTTGTTTTAAAAGGTGTTGGAACCCAAAAATCTTCAAAAAAAATTTTTTTTCGGATTTTTGCATTTTCAAATTCCTTGCACTTTTATCTTTCTAAAAATACCATTCTTTAATCTCTATGAAAATTAGAACTGTAAAAAATATATTTTTAATTTGTCATCGAATGCTTTGATATATGAGGAGTTTTACATTAAAAACGCGTTTTCCTCCAAACGTGATTTTTTTATACTCGATATACCTTTTCTCAGGGACTACTGCTCACAGGTATCTAAACTTTTTATGGTCGTTTTACTGAAATGAGCTTTTTGTTATAAACTAAGAAAAAAAAAATTTTTTTAAATTTTTGTGTAAGAAAAGTGCTAAATTTTACTCTGCCTAACAAAATATTCTGTAAATTACTCTAAAATTCAAAATGTTTCAAAAGTTCATTTCAGTATAGGGTGGCCCAGAAGTCACTTTACATTTTGAAAATTAAATAACTTTTTCTTAAATGACTGTATTTAATTAATTCTTTCTTATTTTTTGCTTATTCACATGTCCATTCAAATGGAAATGAGCTTCATCTCCCATGATCAACTTGTGAATAAACTCATTGTCATTTCTTGCAGTTCTCTGAAACCTGACAGCATAATTTAATCGTTTCTGAAAGTCTGCTGGTTTTAAAGATTGCACTAATTGAACCTTGAAAACGCGTCACTAAGTTCCTTATTGCAGGCCTACTAGGGGGATGTCGAACATTAAATGGCGCATATATTGCGTTACAACAATTGACCGTCCATTTTCAAAGTAAAATTCAATTATCTTCGCTCGTTGTTCTGTTGTAAACTTATCCATGCCAAAATTTCCAGGGATTATATTTTTTAATTCTGAAAAGAGAAAAAGAAATATATTAATAGAAAAAAAGTTATTTAATTTTCAAAATGTAAAGTGACTTCTGGGCCACCCTATATAATCAAATAGGTATACTTTAATTACACAAAAAAATTCAAGCGTGGATCTACAGCAGATTTTTAGAAAAGGTACATCGAAAATGGGCAATTTAACATTGCTCAGTATAGGGGTTGCTGATACCCCTTAAGTTTCTCTGCGTGAGTTTTTTGTGTAACGACATAAGCATGATTCTATTTATCAGTATCCCAACAGATTCATTAGAAGTATTCATTAGTAAAATAGGAAGTGGATGTAATAATGAAAAAAGTAGAGCATGAAATGAAATTCCACCTTTTAGTGATTTTTGGCGACTTCAGGCTTTGGAGCTCTCGCTGCAGCTCTTGTATGCGGACCACATTGCGAGCACACAGTCTTTCAGCTTCGATTATCTTTTTCTTCGTATCTTCAATCCTTTTCCTGAACTGGCACATCACTTCTTTCGCTGTTTCCTTTTCCTGCTCGTTAGCCTCCCACTTGGCTTTAAAAGTTTCCAGCTCATTGTTCTCGAGAGAGGACTTTTTCTCTAAAATCGAACAGATACTTTCATAATTTCATGAAGAGTGCGTCATATATGTAACATCATAGCTATCATATGTGTGAACCAGTACTGTGCCAAAAATGAGACGACTGAAGCTCTTTCCTTAGGTAAAAGTTACGAGCGAACCCAAATTAAAATTAAAAGGAATTTTCAAACTCTCCCCGTGAGCGTTCTTGTGGAATGATTAGCCCGTTAAGTTAATCATTAGAATCTGTGATTCGAATTACCGAAAGTACAACTGAGTTTTGCCTGTTTCCATCCTCGAAAGCCTAATAGTATTTAGTGGTGCTCGAACTAAAATATAATGGACACCACCTGAATTTGGCTGAGTGGATCTCTTTCCCCACGCGCTTTAAGTAGGGGAAAATATAACTAACTATTGTATTCCTTCATACATATTCTCACAATGTAAAAGAGCTTAGCAAGTCCAACTAGCACATGGAGGATTCGTTGTTCGAATCCTGCGAATGCATGGTCATTTTTCATGTTTCCTACTTCCAAAAATATAGACGTCTCTGCAGTGATTTCCAAATTTAAATATGGTGGGCACAAATTTCTCACCACCTGGACTGTCTCATTTTCCTCTCCTCATGAGTGATTTAGCAGTGTAAGTGAGTAACATGTCCAGATGGCAAAGGGGCAGATCTTGGTTCAAATCTTTGCTACGGCACAGTTGAGTTTTTACGTTTCTAGCTTCAAATAGCCTTATGGTTTCTATAAAGTATAATGAATGACGAATTGATATGAAATAACTAAATACAAATAAGATTCAGTAGGCTATAATTTTGAGATTCGCCTCAAGTGATAAAATCCTGCCAAGATCGCTGTGGAAAGTAAATATGACGTAGAGTTTTAACTACACATAATACAACCTCAGCTGCATCTCTAATACATTAGTAGAAGTGAGCCCAACTACATAAACTATTTACTTTCTATAGTTAGATTAGTAGATATAACATGGCAGCATCACAATGGATTTTATTTCTGCCTTGTGAATCCCACCGTCTTACTATTGTAAATAAGCGTCTCCACCAGCGGCCGAACAGTAACGTCGATGAAGGCAGGCAATTCAACTCTGGTTCGAATTCCGACGAACAGGCAGGCTGCATAAGAATTTTCATGGTTTTCCCAATGTGAAACATGTATCCAATTCAGTTTCCCTTAACCTTTTGATGGTCATCAACGAACTCAGCTCTCATTCCAGTTACGCACTACAATAGGCGCAAATGAAAACAATTCGCATTACAAATTTACCACTGATATAGATACACTCATGTCCATAAATTAAGGATAATGGGGCAAAGGAATAATAAAATCAGGCAAAGGAGGAGTTAGAAGCAAAACAAATTTGACTTATTTGTAAAGTTATTTATTAAACAAAAGGTAAAGAGCAAAAATGATGTTATATGTTTAATATTTTAAATAAATTAGCAATTTTTTTCTCCCTGGAGCAAATTTAAAAAAAAAAAAAAAACCATTTACAAAAAAACCAATATTACATGGTGTTATGATTGTTAATACATGTATGTCTCCCAGACGACGCAATACAGTCCGTACAAACGCTAGCATGCTGAGTATCAAAATATCGATCTGATCTTGGGGGGATATACACCACTCAAAAAGCAATGCTCTCCGAAGTTCCGGTAACATGTAGGAGGAGGTTGACGGCGCAACTTGTCGGCCAAGCATGTCCCACTCGTGCCTACTGGATTGAAGTCCGGTGAGAGAGGCTGGCCAGTCTATACGGGTGATATCATCCGATTGAAGGCATTTGCTTACGAAGTTTGCACGGTGAGGACGGGCGTGTCTCCAAAACACAATTGTGCGCCCATGGCCCCCGAAACAAACGACATGTTGTTTCAGAATGACGTCCCATAGATTTGGCTTGTCATGGTTCCAATTTGAACATGCAGTCAGTTCTGTAACCAGAATAATTCCACCCCAAACGAGCACTCCTGCACCACCGTATCGGTGTCGTTCAATGGTGGTAACGGGTACCTGGAGCTCTCCATATGAAAGTCCGGCGAGAATCAGACTGCAACTAAACTGACCGTCGGAAAACATCCACATAAGCCCCTGTTGCGGTGTCCACATGATGCTCTCTACTCCAGGTTAACCGCACGGCGACAGTGAGTGCAGTAAGTGGAACGCTCTGAAAGGTTACGATCATATAGAACAATCGCTAAGCGTCTGTACACGGTTGCCTTGAAACTTCGTACCATGGCTGAAGAGAGCTGACGAGGTCTGGCTGTGTGTTTCGCTGTTTCTTTTGGCAGTAACTGCAATACCGGTCCTATCGGTGTTGTAACTCTGGGGACCGTGCTGTAAACTCTACTCACATACCACATCTTGGAAATCGTGCCAAAGCCTGGAGATGACACTTGGTCAATTCAACGTTCGTCTGATACTCCAGTTGGGTACGCCCACATTCCGATCCGATAATTCACCACGAAAAAATCATCCAAATGCCCTTTGTGTCAAATATTCGGTTTGCTCTGAAATGCTTATAAACGCCTGCGAACAATTTACTTCTTTGCCTGTATTCCTTATATCACTCTCTTACACTTCGCATTGTACGTACCTGGTGTCATCTTCTTACTTCCTTGAAATGGCATGATTCTGAGTGTGTGTAGTGATTTACAGGTGCTAATATTTTAGATTTCGATTTCCACGTGACTCCGAATTATCCTTAATTTATGGACATGAGTGTATTTGGGAAGAAAGAATATAGCTTAATTTCGCAACCACGGAAGGATTAGAAAGTCCTCCACAAACTCCTCTCACAAGCAGATAGCCGTAGAGTTCCGTTATCTAAACCAATTAACTTAATTTCACAAAGTGTTCCGAATTTAGCATGCCTGTTCATACTCATGTACCATCTCTCGTAGTTGAACTATATTTATCAATCTTATTTAAACAAAAATTAGATAAATTATAACTACTGTGGGAAAATAAATACTTTTATTGCCAAGATCTTCACTGAAATTAATTTTCTCGAATATTTGCTAATTTTTTTTAAAATCCTGATGATCTAAATTATAATATTAGGACTTCAGGCAGATTCTTAACAAATTTTGCACAAGCTTGCACATGTTTTGCTTGATTACCTTTCAGACCGACTGTTCGCATCAGTTATTAAGCTACGTAAGATTCCCGCTTCCCCTTGAAGGTATATATTTGGTTTCTAATTATTTATTGCTGCTTTTGGATTTTCTAGTTATTTACAGCTAGAATAGGGCGGAACTAAATTTGTAATTGTATATTAAAATTAAGGTCTATGTTTGCACTCGAGTTCAAAATATTTTAATTCAAAAGCTGCATAAAAATGAAAAGCATTTTTATGTTATGATAATAATGCGAAAAAATGCATTTATTTCTTCTCATAGATAAAACTTGTACAGATTGACATTATTCCTTAAACGTAATAATATAGAATAAATTCCATGCATTTGAAATAAATCAGATTTAAAGACTATCCCAGAAGATGAAGGAATACAATTGTGAAATGCTAGTAATTTTTCACGTCGACTGCGAAATGTATTCTTTGAAGAGGTTTGCTGTAAGGGATTATCCCAATACGAAATGGGAATAAAAGCAAGTTTTCCTTTAAGACTTCTTCGAATGTTGTCAATTCAATCGGTAGATAGCTCTTTGCCTTTTGCCTTAACAAACTTGCTAGAAAATGTCGTCCGTAGTGGTTAATATAGCAAGAGGACGGTGTATTTTTAATGTTCCTGCCTTCCAAAAGGCTAATTATATCTGCAAATTAGCCAGTCAAATTAAATTCAATAATTATTCTGGAAGGAAGCTATTTCTCACCTGTTTCTTCTGAATCCACTTTTCGGTTCGGATCGTCCAACGTTAGTGTTACTGGATGAGAATCAGAAGCTGGGCGTGTTATCAGGAATTGCATTAAAAATTTGTCTTCTTTTGCCTTTTCGCGGACTTCATCTATCTGGAAATACATTGTATGAATTATTCTTACTGCGCAAAAGGAAAAAAAAAAAAAAAAAAAATGGGTGGGGGGACAGTTCTATTTCTCCCGTTCCTACTGGGTCGATTGACGAAATTGCGTTTTTCATATTTCGAAAGCGCGACTTAAGATATATATTAGATTTATATATAACATTGTTCTAATATAGTATGATCTTAATTTTTTAATTCCCTTAGTGCGAAATCGAGTTATTCTACTACTTGCTCATTTGCTGCAAAGTAAGTTAATAATAATTTATTTACTAAAGAAAATTGATTATATTATCTCTTAAGATTATTCAGTAAAATTATCTTAAAAGAGTGAATCCATAGTTAGTAAGTTCATATTTCGAAAATGTTTTGTAACTTGAAATGTAAATTGTTTAAAAATGTTTAACGGGGACTGAATTAAATCATGAATAACAAATTTCAATTGTAAAAGAAATAAATTAAAAGCAAGTAATTATAAATGCAAGAAATCATTGCCATTGATCGGAAATTAGTTGACTTTTCAAGGGGAACAAACCGACTCCCGCTCAATGAACAATAATTAAGAAACAAATACGAAGGTGTTTCGTCTTTTACTCAGGTAATAAGGCGATGCCAAACCGGCAATTCAAGCTAGGCCAAATATTTCTGTGAACAGAAGGCATCAAGAACCAATGCAGAGCACCAAAGAACTCATTCCGATTAAGCATTTTAACTCATTAAATTTTGAGTGAAAAGCAATTTCGGCAGTAAAATTTGATATTACTCGAGTAATTGTCCCCCGACACCCTCGTGTTTATGCATTTTAATTCAAAACTATTTGTAAAAATTAAACATTGGAAATTTGCATTATGAAATAGAACTCAAAGTAATTGGAACAAACATTAGAAAATTACAAAATATAAGAAATATAATGCAATCTGTAAAAACAAAAAAAAAAATTTAAAATATAAAAAAAATATAATAAGAAAACAGTGAATGTACATGAAGATATAAAGGCCAGAAAAAGTATTAAGTAACTTACATTCTTTCTAGGGGGAAGTTGGGCAAAGTGTTTTCTTCGCGTCTGACTCAGAAGTGTTGGTGTCCGAAATTCTTAGCGGCAGTGGGGGCTTTGAATATATCAGTCGGTAAGACTTGTGTGAAGTAATTTATGGTAGTGGGAGGACTGGAATTCTTGAGGGATGTATTTGTGGAGTTCTTATTTGAGGAAACCGTCTGTTAAGATTTTTTTAAAATACTAGTGAATGGAAATTAATTAATTTCTGGCTAATTGTCGTGTCGCAATGATTAAGAATTTAAGAAAAGGAAAAAAAGGAATTTTCACTGTCAAGAGCTATTGACAGACTAAAGTCATGAAATAGGCCCATTTTTTTAGTAACAGCATAAGTCTGAAGACAATTAGCTTTTTACAATATATACAATTGAGTAATTACACTATATACAAATCCTTCAACTGATAGTCATCCAACTTATACCGCCTTCTCAGGTTTAGGAACAAATTATCATATCCCTATCAGTTAAATGATTTAGAGTATTTAACGCCTTCTCTTTTAAGGCAATGGTTAATAAATTGATTAGGTATTTGATTATTTTTAAGAATTTTAATAAGGAGCAACACAAAATCGGACCTTTTCTGAAATGACATGGTAAGTTTTTTCCATATTTCAATTCTACGGCTCAATTTATGCCTAAATATTAAATTTTGCAAAATTTAGGGCGAAATTCACGAAGAAATTCAAAAATTTATCTTGGCGCAATTATTTTAAATTTCCGCCAAGAAAAATTCACTTGGCGAACTTCTTAATTTACGGCAACCTATTTTCCTTTCCCTTTCTGCATTGTGAATGAGCGGAAAAAAAGTCACATCGTTCCTACTTTCAAATAATTTTAATGTCAAATGTGCGTAAACCACATTTGACGTTGGTGTCTCTTTCAAACAAATATGTCAAATTTCAAAACGTGCCAGTATATAAATTCAAGTATATCTTTTGAAATTTCGAATAAAAAAACTTTAATTATTTGCAGGTATGCTTAGAAATACATCTACTTGATTGAACATGATATTAAAAATTTTATAGGCTATATAATACAAAAAGTTTTTCGAAAAATTTATAAAAATTATTTAGAAATACAAATTTTAAAAATAAATCATAAAAAGCGGACGAATGAACTGAGTGTATCCATCCAAAGAAGCATATTGACATACTGCTAGAAGGTAACTGGTTTCAAAGAAAAGCTACGAATTCGATATCAACCCAATTAGAAGATGGAATATTTCTATTTTTCTGTCACTCGAAGAAATGGTTGATAGTAATAAGTTTGTAATTCCAAAGCGTTTGTGCAGCAATTGTGGATCATTTCAAAATATTATCGAAGTTATTTGATGAATACTTTAAAGGAGGACTGAATATTTCGGAAACATTGGATTATAAACTTATAATCTTTCAATTTGGATGATACTGATAGATAATAGAACTGATAGATGACAGATCTTTTACAACCGCTCACAAATCGTGCTCTTGAAATGCAGTTTGAAAGCAATACTTTGAAACTATATTGGTGTTCGGCAATGGATAGGTTCATAAAAATTAGTGAAAAGGCGCTAACTCTGCTCATCCCATTTGAGACGACATATTTTTGCGAATCTGGGTTTAGCACCTTTTTCTGAATCAAAAGAAAATTCAGAAATCACTTGGATGCACAAAGCGGATATACAAACTGCTATCAAGTGCTGCACTTTGAAAATCGCTTATGTAATAAATAAGAACACAAATGTGATTAATTTTTTAAAGGTTTGCATGCTAGTTTTCGTAAAATTTTCTGATTTCCATATTTCATTTTTTGTTTATAATTAAAATTTGATTATATTACTTTATCTTAGTTTTTTTCAGAAATTTCTTTAGAGGGTGCGAGAATATATTAAAAATGTTTTAAGGGTGCGGGACATGAAAGAGATTGGGAACCCATGATATAGATATGCCGGTACCCTTGAAACGATTCACTTTTCTTTCTTCAATCAATTTTTTAGAAATATTTTGCTCACCGCACATGTAAACATATATTCAGCTGCGATATGACAGAAGAACTGACCAGTCATTTATGGGCCTTAAAAGAAATTTCTGATGAAAATACCTGATTTCCGAAATTGGCCTTGGAGTCGCCAGGAATGCATCTCTTTAACTGTAAGTGTCTTTTGTTTGTAAAACTTTTTTTTCCACTGCCAGAGAGTATAAGAGGTTTCTTCTCCTTTTATCTCGGAAAATTAGCGTGCAATAAACTTGCATTTAAGATCATTTATACAAATTATTCATATGCTTTTTCTTTTACGACGTCTTCTATAAATATGCAACCAAATTGTTTATAATTATGGAAATTGAGGAAAAGGTGGTAAGTAATCCGGAAAATGCCTTCATGGTGCGGCATTTTCTGTGTCAGGTAGTGTATTAGGCAGGTTCTTTTTTGTTCAATACGAAGTAGCATAATAAGGCTAAAAGAAAAGGGAGAAATTTAGGGTTCGAAAATATTGCAAAATTCAGCAATTCTGAAAATCATTTTATTGTAATTCGTATTGAAGACCTACACTGTGCAAAAGACACTTTGTTTTGTATGTGTTCCGGTGCACCGGAACAGAACAACTCAACCTGACTCTTTCGCTTTTGGAACTATGCCAAAGAACATTTAATTCAGTTGAACAGTCAGACTCAGACGAACGATTTCGCATGGCAGCTGGAATGCTGTCTATTTTTCATTATTTTTGTTGTGTTCTCGTATTTATATGTCATTTTCTTGTTTATACTTGTATTGTGCAATTATTTAATATAAGTTTTGTGTTTAAAAAGAGGACATGTATCGAGTTCATTCACATTACATCGCAACAGTATGTGAAATCAACTATTTCGCTGATTTTGCATTAAATTTGAAATATACATTAGGAACCGTATAAAGCAATAATGTATTTTACAACAACTGCATTCAGAGAAATGAATAAAAAGAGCAGTTTGAGACTTGGTAGAAAACTGGAGTTTGTGTACCAAATACAAATCATCCTCAGCAACAATTTGTTGTCATAAGTACCTAACCAGAAATCACTTATCTGAGCAAAGAGTTAATAAATTTGATTATTTTAATTAAATGCAGATTGCAAATTTGTTGAAATAAATTATAAACAAGACATAAAAAATTTTAAAAAGTTTGCTCATTATAAAATGGACAATACTCAATTAATTAGCTGCAAAATAGATGTAAACTGAACGCTAAATACATAGATATAACTATGTTTGGTAATGTAGTGCTGTTTTGTCACTTTCTGAAATTTCAAAATTCTGCTAGATTTCATCAGAAGGTTTTGCTTTGGTTACCAAATGTATTTCACAATTTTCCTGGGTTGTGTATAGAGATTTTACAGTGAATTTCATCTGATATAATTTTTGCAATGCACTGAACCATCTACATTATTTCCCTCCCCCCAAATCAATCTGGAGCTGAAGGTTGAAATGGTAAAAAAAAATATGGTTTTCCTGAAAAGCGAAAACGTGTATGTATGTATTACCTGTGTCATGCTTTAAAACAGAAAACTTTATGACTGCCTCTTTGTTGCTTCAGGACATTTTTACACTAAGGCACACATATATTATTAAATTAATTTTCGTCAAGAAAACTTTATGACCATTCTGTGCATTGGGATAATCATCTTTTAACAAACCCAGATACTTCTATAGCAAGACACGCCAGAAGAATCGTATTATTAATTTTGAAGCAACACTGGTTTCCACATTACCTTCTTTTTCAATGCCTTGATTTCTTCTATCATAATCCTGTTGTGCTTAAGTTTTTCTTGGTAACTGGTCTTAAGCTTCATGTATTCTTCTATGCTTTCTGCCGCCCTTTCCTCACCCTCTGTGCGAAAAACACAGTAGTCTTCGTAAATCTGCTTTAGAGATTTGCGTTGCTTTTCGGTAAGAAGGTCTTCTGCAGAAGCGGAGGTCACCTCTGGATCACACTCGGGATCAACCAAGTTGCTGAGTCCAGTTTGTCTCAAGGCGTCCACAAGTTTCATCATTCCCGACTTTAAGCAAATGACTTCTTGCGCCCTGTCTGAGAAAATGTTTTATAAAAAATAAATCTACATTAATTGGAAATGAATCTCATCCACGGGAAATGTTACTCAGAAGTTTGGGCCAAAATATAAAAGAAAAACCTGGATATGCACTAATGGAAAATGAAATTTCAAACCCAAGAAAGAGTTAAGTTGTACTAGATAAATGAAATTTAGGAGGCGTTTTATCACATATGAAAGATGACGTCTATTCAAATTTTGCGCTAGACGAATAAGTGTGGAACTAGAAACCACTATGAACATGCAAATCATGTTTGTTTTAAATAAGCGATGTTAACTTCGTGTGCTTTATTTATCTTCCGCATTTGGCTTTGTGAGAGAGATTTGAGTCAAGAATGTCTTGAAGACGACGAAGAAGGTAGTATCAGCCGCTTAATGAGTTTGAAAGACGCCGTGTAGTACCGCTACGAAAATGTGGATTTTCTTTTCACGATACTGCAGAATGACTTGCCAGGGATCTATTCACTATGCATGCGTGTTGACAGCAGTGGTCAAGGAAAGGTACTCTTTCAAGAAGGCAGGAGTCCGAACGCACCCGTGCAACCACTTGAAAGGAAGACCATCGTACTCGCCGTATGTTTGTGGCTCATCGCACTGTATGTGCAGAAGATGTTATAGTTTTACTGTCATCAGAGTGACACAGAGAACTATCGGATGCCCCAGAATTCTTCCCCTGACTAAAAATATTCATAAGGCTCAAAATATGACAAATACATTTTATCTTGAATTGCATGTAATAATTTCAAGTTTTGGTGTACATGCTCACTATTACTTTAATTGTTGGATTACAGTGCTCGTTATGACTTTGCTATCTGAGAATAAGAAAGATGTTGATTATCTGAAAAGTTGCCTTTTCTCAAATGAGGCCACATTTCATTTGAATGGTGATGTCAATCGACACAATGCTGGAATCTGGAGATATTAGAATCCCCCCCCGTTCCCGTTGTGTTTCAGACCATCAGGGAGAGCCCTAAGCTGAACGTGTGCGATCTCATGCACAATCAAATCATAAGATCATTTTTCTTCACGAAAAGGCGATCACAAACAATACCTATCTTGATATATTGCAGTTATCTGTTGTGCCACAGATTCAGGACACTCTGGATTTAGTTTTCCAACAAGATGGCGCGCCGCATCATCATTAGATGTCTGTGGCTATTTGGATAGAACATTTCTGGGAAGATGGGTCGGGCTTGATGGTCCCATAAACTGGCCTCCGCGATCACTGGACATAACACCAATGGATTTCTTCCCTTGGGGTTATGTCAAGGACCAAATTTAGCAAACACCAGTGAACGACATCGCAGTATTACGGTGCAGAATTCCTTAAGTCATAACATCCATTCTTTACGTAATATTGATCAACACATGTAATTGGAATATCGCCTGGATATTCTTCCAGCAACGAATGAACCACACGTAGAAATTTATTAATTGGGTACACAAAAACTTGAATATGTTACATGCATTTCAAGGTAAAAAGGATTTGTTTATGTGTCATGCCTTGTGAATATTTGGAATCGGGAAAAGAATTCTGAGACACCCTGTATAACAATCGATTACTTGAGGGACAACTTTGTAGCTGCCTTACCACTAGCTCTAAATCCCCGCCATCTGCGACTTTTGTGGTGTCAAGCTAGTACTCTTTGGAAGGCGGAGTGGAGATCTGTTATTTCTCAGATGAGAGTCGTTTTTGTGTTGGTGTCAGTAGCCGTATTGTTACGCTTTTCTCTTCCTGACACCAGTTGTTACGTTATTTTCTTCCTTCACGTTTCGTACGGGTTCGTAGACTTAGGGTGAATAACGGCGACACTTGATGAAGTATCGAAACGCACTTTATTGGCCAATATTGTCAGGACCGCTCCAAAACACGTTTTACAGTCGTCGAACTGTTATAGACACGTTCAGCGACACAGCCTTCACACTGTCAGGCAATAACGGTGGAGACAGCTTCACCGCAAAGCACCCGAGTACAGCTCCCAATTCTGCTTGGTCATTTTCGGAATTCCACGTACTCTTGAGACTCCACGTGATGCACTCGACGATACACAAGAGTATAGCTCTCGACTCAGCACAGTCTAAGACAAAACTCGACGATGCACTAACTCGCGATGCACTAAAAGACTCTCTCGATGCACTCGACTACCAACTCGACGCTAGACTTCGAGATACTCGCTCAATGACTGACTATCAGCTCGCTAGAAGAGGCACACATACTCTAACTGATTGCGGAACCAGCTGGGTTTATATAGCTTTCGGCTTTGTGTTCGGGAACATTCTGGGCTAAACCGGTAAGAATTCGTTCCAGAAGGTTCTCCGACCGTCCATGGTATATCACCAATTTTCTCGCCAAATGTGGCAACCCTGTCTTCCCTTGCCATTTTATGGCAACCCTAAAACCGGTTTTTTGGGAAACCATCTTACCTCGCCTGTACATTTCGTAACAGTATATTAGTTAGGAGGAGGCAATGTGAGAGCTTGGAGCTAAGTTGTTTGCAGCTTTTAGACACATTGGACAATCTGGCGAGCTGGAGATAAGAATATTTTTTGACAGTGTTACCATTTCTCCCTTTCAAATCGCTGAGTTTGTTATACAAAAATTTGTTAACATCGTTTCATTATTCTGACACCGGTATATTCTGTCTATATGTATATATGGAGAGAGAGAGCTTTCTTCGTGAGGAAACGTAAGCAGTTCTGGAAGCTTTGAGCAAAATAACTGTCAAATATTCGAAAATGCATTTTATGGAAACTTTCAGAATATCATTAAGTTGGAGATAATAATCCTCGCCAAGGCTAGTAGAAGTGTTTTGTCTATATCTTTGACTTCAATGTAGTTTTCCTTATAATTCAAGTATTGATTGATTCAGAATTACAAAAAATTGTAATGTAATTTACAAAATAAACACTTCAAATGCAATAAGCGACCATAAATTATATTGAATTAAAACAAACAGAATTTTTTTATATTATAACGATTAATTTTATTAACAGTTAAATTTTGAGTTAAACTCCCTTTCCTATCGCTTCTTAATTTCAACTTACTACTTCCGGCCAGAACGTAATCTTAGAATCACGTCTGAATGCTAATGAGGAAGAGCGGTATTTAACCGCGAAGTTCTACTGTTTTAATGAGAGAGATACCAGATATATTCTGGCTGCACGCGTCCGCCTTTTTAGACTACTCTCTCGTAAGCTATTATTACGCTCGGCCGTACTTTAGGCCCTTGATGGCTTCGCAGTCAATTAGCGTTAAAGAACCAACTCTGTTAGAATCTTGATAGCTTCGGCTATACCTCTTTAGTTTAGTTGATTCTTAGTCTCTTAAGTTCAAGCCCAAGTGTCGGCTTTATTGTACAATTCCAAGACGGAGTTCTGTTAAATCTTATTTGAATAATAAAGGGTTTAACCCTTTCCAAGCATACTTATTGTCTCATGAACTCAAGCCATTATTCGCTTACTAGTTCTTAAGATTTTTCACTTTTAACTGTAACACAGTGGAGAATCCGATAATATAATATACTAGTCTAAATAACTAAGTAGATAAAAACGACTACTGCATAATAATACGAAAAGACACGAAAGCAGAAAACAATTAATGAATACAAAACTTTATATAAATTTACAAGAATATTCTTTGTAAAGCTATTATATTTAATTATAATCATTGTGATCACCTCTCCAGTTAGTTCCAAATACCACTTGTTCATGAGGATTGACATCCATTCCCAGTTCTTGAGCCATAACTCTTTTGTAGGTGGCGACGTTCCTCCGCATGTCGACCAGCTGCTTCTTGGCTTGTTCCAGCTGTTGTCTTGTACTCTGAAGTTCCTCTTGAATCTTTTCCATTTCATCGTTCCTTGTCTCTATGGGGAAACAGTTGAGATTCCAAAGTATTTTGTAAAGCGTAACAACATAGTCTGCATTTGTTTTCATTTTTACCCCAAATAGTTGAAACCTAAATTTAGTTAGTAAAGTTAGAATGCATTATTTAACTATGGCAAAGCGCACTAGGGCTATCTGCCTATACTTAGGGCTATCTGCCTAAGGAAGGAATGTTTTCGTACAGGCTTTTTTAAGGGAAATTGATTCGCACATGTGAAAAACCAAAAAATCGCCCATATAACCAGACCGTTCGACCACATTAGAACTCCAGTCAACTATCACTGCTCAGCTGTCTTATCCACTCGGCCACTAATAGGCCTAAATTTGTTTTTATAAAAAAAGCAGTAAGAATATAAATAAAAAACTTATACAGAGAATACAGGCATAGTTTTCTTGTTTAAAATGCATTAGAAGCGAAATAAGTGGCTACCTCAATGTGAGGCTTTCCTTCATGTGACCTAGATCACGGGTTCTCAGCCGCTGGTACGCGTACCACTGGCGGTACGCAAGAGAAAAATAGGTGGTACGTACGCAAAGAAGCAAAGTATTTCTAACTATAGTAGAACGTTGTAGTGGTGGTACTACAGGTTTTCAATTTTTGTTTAGATGGTGCGCGTTAAAAGGTTGAGAACCGCTGCTAGATGATTCCCGAAAAAGAAGACAAAAAGAAAAAAAATAATATAATATATATATACTATATATATAATTACAAAATAATTCTTTTGAAAACAAAACACAAATATGCCTAGTTATTTTCGCGCATTCAGCTGCAGAAAAATTAAGGACATCAAGTAAGAAATTTAGAACTAATATTTCACAAAGACCAGAAATTGAAATTCATAATTAATAAATTTCAAATAATCGTAGGAATGCAATAATAAATTTAAAAATTTTAAAACCAAAACATTTCAAACAAGCAAAACCTCTCTTCAAAAATTATGAAATTAAAAGAAAAATGAACAAAAAACAGAAGAGGAATTTAATCAATCTCAGTGTCACTTCATCAGGGGGAAGGAACCTTGAAATTAATTGAAATCTCTTCTACAAAAATCCTTGCTTAAATTTATTATTGCATTTCTATGATTATTTGAAATTTAGTAATTATGAATTTCAATTTCTGGTCTTTGGGAAATATTAGTTCTAAATTTCTTACTTTATATATTTAATTATATATATATATATAGTGCCATTTACAGCACGGATTTTGCAGTTAACACCCACAGATGGTTCCCTCCCGGTGGGAAATAAAAAACTATCTGTTGGTGCGGGCAGTTCTCTGAGAGAGTTTGAATTCTTCCCTGTTGTATTTCCGTTACTCGTTCTCAGTGACGCCATATATACATATATATATTATATATATAAATTCTGTAAATATTTGGATTAATAGGAAATAGCTGCGTAGATACATAAAAAGATAGCCACAGACAGACGTGGCTGAATTCAGCTTAACTTTTTGATAGAACCTCCAACACAAGAGTACCAATCTGATACAGAGCACTGAATAAACTGTGTTAATTCTAACACAAAGAATAGTAAAACATTTGACAATAAGCACCAAGCCTTTGTCTAGGATATCCTCGATGCACAGAGAAAAATTTGCCAAAGTGTCCAGAGCCTTCGTCCATATCTAAATCACAAAAGCATACCATGGACAAACGAGATTATTCACTGCAACTTATAAAGATTGCTACAAGCAATGCCAAGCAAACTATGGCATAACTAAAGGCTGACGCTAGAGCCTTTCAAGAATCATACATTAAAAACAGCTTTATACCTATTGTCCCAAACCATAGAAAAACCTTTTTTTCTCACATTCGACTAGCTGCAGTAATATATGAGGGAGTATTTTGACGTATGCTAATTAGAACAATGGACCATACAGTCACCATAAGAATAGAATCAACCATAATATAACTCTATAATATATCTTTTCAATTTCTTCTAAATGCTGCCCCTCCTGATCTTAGTATATATGATCTGAGCTTCTTATATACTTCTAGAACTGCTGATTTCCAGTGATTATCTTGATAATCTCCTTTGCTTAACAATTGTAATGCTTTTGTATGACGATCATTATATGACTTCTGCTAAGTTCCTTTTTGGTTGATTTTTCTTTCACATTTTCCACAGCTTGACCTTTCAGTAATTATTCTGATGTAGGAAGTATTGTTTTTGTTCATAAGTCGTTGAGCTAGGGATCCTGATATCTCATTACATGGAGTGTTCCTATACTACATTGTTAAGTAAGGATCAGAATGATTTGGTCTAGCATTTTTCAACAATCTTTTCGCCGTTTATACTGAACGCTCTGCTAATCTGTTCCACAGTGAATTGTAAGGACTGCTCGTTATATGTTTAAATTGGTATTTCTTCTCGAATTCCACAAATTCTTTAATTGCAATCTGAGGTCCTTTATCAGGTATCACTATCAATGGTCTGCTATAGCTTGCAAAAGGAGATTTTATATAACTGAATCACTGTCTTATATCAAGCAGCCGGTAATTTATTGCTTTCAGAAAAGTTGGAATGATAGTCGACGATTAACAAGAATACATCTTTGTCAACACCTGTAAGAACACGTGTTCATTATAATGCAAAGGTGCACATGCGGCCATTGTGACCATGCATACATCTGTAATTTTTTTTACCTAATTTACTATTTAAAAACAACGTAAGACAATAAAAATTTAAAGAACGTTTAAAATAACAAAGATTGTTAAACATTACTGATAATAAATTTATTACAATTCTGAACTTTTACAAAAGCATAAAACTTGTTGTTACCAAATATTGATGTATTATATACAGGTGTAATGTAAAGTTCACAAACTCTCTCAGTTCCTTTGCTAAACCAGTGCTGCCAAAATCAGAGCGTAAAAATGTCCATCGGTCAAATTGGCCGATGTGTACTTACTTATAGGCGTTAATCTCAAGGTAAATTAGAAACATCCATTGGCATCATAGGTTCCCATACGGTATTTTTGTTCTGATATTCATTGCATATAGAACATTTAGAAATATTATTTTCTATCTGCTTGTTCATAAGTGACCAAACAAAACATCTCTAGCTCTTTTCTTACATTTTGCTATACTAAAGTTACCCTCATGTATTAAATTTAATATCTCTGCAGTCGCAAGTTACTTTAACATATGATTTTAATTGATCTTCCCTTTCTGGCCAGCCTCTCAGATTTGCATCACATTCACTCTCTTTCCTAAAATTCGGGATTTTGTCACGCAAATTTCTGCATCTTCATCACATTCGGTTGTATTCAAGAACTTCTACTTAAAAGTGTCTACTATCAGTAAGTCTTTTTTCTAAGTAAAGGTTTCTGGTGAGCTTAACATGTTCAAGGAAGTAATAACAGGAGTCAAAACAAGTGTCTAATACACTTAAACACGTTTAACCCTAATTTAATTTAGTTTTCAAAGCCCTAAAATGTCCCTTTAAGAATTATACAGCTCAAAAGTCCTAATGTAGAAAATATCCTAGAAACTTACCAGAAATAGCAACAAGCAGCTGCTGATGCAGCTTATTACAGATTGCTTCCTTGGTCTTGCTTTGCATATTATCACCAATATGAAGTATTCTTTGCCTGTAAGAAGGAAATTTAGCAGAATAAAATTAATGTATATATACAATGGTGTTCAAAAATTAAGGACTAGACGGTTTTTTTCAATATAACTTAGTACAAAAGCTTTCCAAATCAACACATTTAACACCGTAAGATTACCAATACGTAAGGACATGAGTAATGTAAGCAACACTTACTAAAAGAGAAATCAGAGGGATAAAAAGAAGCTTTATTGAAAAAGTAGCATGGAGCGCAATGCGACTGAAGGCCGAAACATCCTGTGATGGGTGGTGTCCAGCAAGAAACATCCGGTCTTTAATAGGGGATATGATCTCCCCTGACTGCTAGGCAGGTTTCACAGCGTCTGCCCATGCTGAGAATGAGGGTGTCAATGAGTTGTTGAGGCATTGCTGCCCATTCGTCTTGCAGCGCCAATCGAAGCTCCGGAATCATTACTGGTGGTAAGGTACGAGCTGCCAAGCGTCTGCCTAGAAAATCCCATACATGCTCGATGGGATTGAGATCCGGAGATCGTGCCGGCCAATCCATACGTTCAATATCCTCACTTTCTAAGAGCTGTTCGGCAGCTACTGTGCGATGACATGGTGCATTGTCGTCCATGAAAAGGAACTGCGGACCCATAGCGCCTCTAAAAAGACGCACATATGGAAGAAGAATCTCGTTACAATAACGGGTCCCGTTGACTGAACCTGCGTCGAAGATGTGAAGGTCTGTACGACTACCAAGCATGATGCCTCCCTAAACCAGAACACCGCCACCTCCATACCTGTCCCTTTCAATGATGTTCGAGGGATGATTGCGGCTTCCCCGCTCTCTCCAGATGAGTATGCGATGAGAATCGCTACTCAGACTGAATCTGCTCTCATCTGTAAAGAGTACTCGTCCCCATTCATTGTCTCTCCAATTCCGGTGTTCCCGGTACCACAGAGAACGCCTTCTCCGATGGGCAGGCGTTAGAGGTACACACCGTACAGGGCGTCGTGCAAACAGACCACCACCGTGCAGTCTTCTGGCCACGGTAAAACGCGATATCGGTCGTCCAGTCCCCTGTGTCGTGTGTCTAGCAATTTCTCCCGATGTCTGCCGCCTGTTTCTTCTGGCCTGTAAGGCAATATACCGGGTGTGGTTCCTTGTGGACGACCACTACTAAACCCCCGGATAGCTGTTCCTGTAGTTTGAAATTGTCTCCAAAGTCGTGAAACGATGCTGTGAGCAATTCCGAACTCTGCAGAAACACTTGTCACACTGCGGCCTTCCTCCAACTTCCGAATGATTCGACCTCGGGTAAAAGCATCCAGATGTCGTCTAACAGATTGATTATTCGCCATTTCTCGCTGAGGCAGCAACTCGGTGTGATTTTAACTGCTATACGGCGTGCAATCTCTTTGCCAGAAATACTGATCTTACACCGACAACATGCTTTATACTACTTAGACACTCCCCTATTACGTCTACCTGCATATCTGCGCATGTGCTACCGTACATCACCTTACTTAATCTCTTGATTGGTCTTTCTGTCCGCTCTGCCTCTTCGTTCACCTGATATGCTAATTTTTCGACTTCGTCCTTAATTTTTGCACACCAGTGTATGTAGGTTTTCAAACGCGCATTTTTATATGTAAATGAATCTTGTAGTGTGGATAAAAATAATTTCTAAGATACCTAAAGTAAATAGCAGTATACTCTAATACGCCTGTACATACAATAGAAAATATACACACACGTGGAAGTTCATTGACAAGGGTCATGAAACTTTTTGTGTCTATATAACCATTTACGTCATTAATTTTAATCTATCTTTATTATTTTATAAATTATTAAACATCAAAATGGGTCCGGGACTTTATAAACACCCTGATTCAAATAATTCTGATGTGTTGAATTAACCTTTGAATAACTTACTCAAATTAAAAAATAAAAAATAAACTAAAACTTCCCAAGGGGGACGAAATTTGAGAATAAATAATTTGACAATCTTTTCTTTATTTATTAAATTTTTCTTAGACACACACAGAAGAATGTATACATTTAAATGTAAATAATTACTTCTTTATTTCTCTCTACAACTTTCAGCTACACCTAAAGCTTTTCGATTGTGGATCAGGTTTGTAACACTGGGAAATTTATTAGAAGCTGAAGAAGCTTAACAGCAATTCATTTTTTTTAACTATGGAAAAACTAATCACACGTAAATGAACTCCCAAACAAAGCGATTATTTTTTGTTATCAAAGTTTGGTATCTTTGAACAAGCTACTCAAATCTGTATCTTCAAATTTTTAAATGAGATTTGTATTACAGAGTAAATTAATTAGTTCTTTGAAAATTTTCTTAGACGTTACATTCTTTTGTTTTTGCTAATGAAACTAATATAAAACTGGTCTCTGAATCATTAAAATCTTAAAATTTTGCTTCGAATTCTTGACATAATGATACTGATTAATTTATGGGAAATTCCTTCGCGGGCCGCATAAAACTGCTTCGGAGGCCGTGCACGACCTGCGAATTTGAGACCACTGTCATACTCTACACCGAAGTTTTTAAATTGCAGTCCAGTCCTCCCTCCAAGTTCCAGTTTCTTTTCATATTTTTAAACATTATTTACCATTTCGTATCAGTCTTCGTTTATCCCACTGTACATTCCGTAATATACAGTAATTTTAATATTTTATAAGGTATTTTCTCTCTCCTTTCTGGATGCCTCCGTGGTGTAACGTAGCCCACTCGGTGCGTATTCGAGAGGTCCAGGTTCGAGTCTCAGCGAGGGCATTGCTCATTCTTCTTGTCTCCTGCTTCAAAAATCCTAATGAGTCTATAATTTCATACTTAATTTTTTTATGTTTATGAAAAAAGAGGCGAAGTTCATTATTTACATTATTAAACTTTTAAAGTCTAATTTTAGGATTATGCAGTTAGATTTTGAGGCTTTACAGTTTCTGGCATAATTTTACTTCTTAATCTGTTAAATAACCAAAGATTAATGCAATTTTATGATTAGTGCAATAATTTTATTGCGGAGAAAAAAGGTTAAAATTCACGGTGCTATCGTTGGATAAAGTGAAAAAATTCGCGAAATTTTCACGGTCTGGATTTAATGGTCAAGGCCTATGGATTTAACAATTTCCCATGACGAAGAGTCGGCAATAGAATTTTGGGTAAAGTGCAGAATCATCCACTGCTTGACGCGTTTATAAGAATTGCACATACGCGGTATCCATGTACACATCGACCTATTTTCACTTAAAAAAAATCCCAGAATTGTACAAAAATGGCATTGCGCACTCCCTTGACTTTATCCATGTTCACATCGACCTATTTTCACTTAAAAAGTCAAAGAAAATTAACAAATATCCAATTCTTCTTACTCTTGTAAAAAGCGCCAAACAAACGCCAATCAAATAAGTGGAGGATTCTGCACTTTAGCCCCTTAAGTAAAGGGCTGTATGGTATAAACCATAATAAAGCTGTCGTGAGATGTGTGAGAAAGGGTTCCGTTAATCTTTCAATTGTGAGTATGAGATTGGGGACTTTTGGCCAAATATTTATTAAGTGACAATTTTAACAAATAAAATACTGCATCTTGCTTCAGTATTACTGGAGGGAATTTTTTTTTATAATGCGTAAATGACTCCAACATTTTTTGAACGGGCCTCATATCCCAAATAAAGATTATACGCTTTTTTTAGTCTCATGAATCAAATTAAAATGCCTTAACACGTTAAATGCAAATATTATTCAGCTTTTGTTGCAGCTTGCTTCAAAACGTATGGATGTGCCAAAATCTTCTTGATTTTGTTTCAAGTTTAACAGCAGGAACTTAACTTTTACAGCAGGAAGTTAACTATTTAAAGATAAATAGTTAACTTCCTGCTGTAAAATAATGTTATATATTAGTCTTACTAACATTTAAATTATTCAGCAGGTGTTTCTAAACGTATTTTGTACATACCTGTATATAGAATCTTGTGATATCTGATATCTTCCACATTTTGAATTTTGATACCATAAATGAATCAATTTCTGAATTTATCTTGATTTGAAAATGTGCGCAGTATAGTATATGCGATATGTTTTGCATGAAAAAATAATGTACCTCGTGAACAGTGCACAAAATACGCGAGCATTTTAGGCAAACTCAGTTTATATGTCTAAAAACACATCCAGCTTTTCATGAGGCTGCACAAACATTCAAATCCTCTGAGAAACTGTCCATTCAGTTTTCTCTTTAATTACCACCAGTGAAATAGTTTTGTTTTCAAACAATAGGAAAGGAATAAACAATAGTACCTACTTCCTTTCCGGGGAGAAAGATGACTTTCTTTCACTTTGTTACAGGATAATTTTATTGTCCTAGGTTAGCTTAACTGAATTAAAAAGCGACTGCGAATGCATTTAATAAAATCATAATGTGTTTTTTTTTCTTTCTTTCAAAAATCTGAATTGGTTATTTTTGTATTTTCTTAGAGCCAGCAACATTTTCTTGCTAAAGTGGCCATCTAACGCCTACCTCTGTTAAAAAGCAAATCTGTTATTGATGCATGCGCAGAAAATATATTTTGCGCTCACACCAATGTCGTGCATGTGGTATTTAAGCAATTATTTCATTTATTTTAAATAAAATTGAGCCCCTGCCTCCCTAGATTACTACCTCGCACCTCCGGTTAAGAATCCCTGCTTTAGATCATTCGGGCTTATATGTACCGTTACTGCTTCTTCCTCTGGCAAAATAATAAAAATTCTTAGAACTTGCCTTCGTAAGTTGTTTCAAATAGTGCTTAACAAACGAAGATGAGTTCGATTATTTTCTGAATAATTAACCCACACGAAGGAAAAAGACCAAGCCAAGACATCAAGCTTTGATAATGTATATCCAGCAGATGGTGCTCCATTACATTAAAAGGAGGAAGATTAGTTTAGGAGCCTACTCCTGTCGACTCCTCGATTTAGGTAACAAGAAATGATGCAGGATCATTAAGTATCTCTACTATACTATCAGATTTCGATTGCAGAAAAAGAGACTAAGTACTTCCTGGTTCGAAAATTTTATATATTCCTTCAAACATATCAGAAGCGAAATTTTCCCTTTAACCCAGAGAATGCAGAGGGGCTTTCGGGATCGAGATATATCTTTCCATATGAAAGCTTAAGGCTTGCATTCTTTCCTGATATAATGCTGAAAAAGGCTCTTGATCAAAAGCGGACTAAGATTTTCGTCACTTTGTAAAATATACCTTATAAACAGAACATATTTGTTACCGTTAATCTTCTGAGGCAATAGAAAAGTTACCTCTGGAAAGGTGTTCCAAAGGTCTCTCTTGTGTGCGTTTGAGACTCTTTGAGTGTTGTACATCCATCACAGGATTTCTGTGCATCAATTTTAGCCTTTCCTAGAAGGAAAATTTACACGTTTTAGGCAGTAATGTTGCTACACCTAGCAATATCCCTCAGAAGCATTACTGAAAAGCATTTAATAAACGGTAGGGACCAATGTCTTAAAGGAGCTTCCACCTGTTTCATTTTATTCAAATAATAAGGATTCAACTTAATCATTTTTAAACGTATGAATTTATATCTGTTATTACAAACTTAATCTGTTTTTTCCCTATATAAACAATCTTTTAATTTTTAAGATAAGCACATATGAATGGCTTGGTTTGTAAAGATCATTAAGATTTTCTGCAGTGGCGTGGGACAAAGGGGGACTTCTGTCCCTGGGCGCAGCATTCAGGGGGCGGCAAATTGATGTTACGAAATTTTAGAATGAAATGTTTTCCATTCTTGCCACACAGAAAGGGGCGCAAAATCTTCAGTTGTACCCGAGCGCTAAAAACCTTAGCTACACCTCTGATTTTCTGTTGCAGGAAACATTAAAAAATCTACTGAGCCTGCATGGGATTCGAACCACGGATCTTTCGGTTGCAAGCTAGACATGCTAACTATTTGCACCATGAGAATGCGCATCGGAAACTGCAAAAATTTCTTTACATTGTCTCTCAATTAAAGGGGTCTCTCGCAATTAAAGGCACGAGAATCAATCAACCAAATCCAATTGATAACCAAATTTAGTTCCATACCGCTACTAATTCTATTAGGCTTTTGCAATAAGAATCATGAAAGAGTAAACTGTGCCCTCATCATATTCAAGCCATGAATTTCCAGTTGCTAACTAGACATATTTACACTTACACCACGTCAGTATTCACGAAGAATGTGATAATTCTTTATGGCGTTATCAGACTTATAAAACCGAAACTCAGTAGCAAAGCTTTTCGAGAAAACTCTTCCTCCTAGACGTTTAAACGACGGATTTCCACCCGCAACTTTGGGGAAAATGTTGCGTTTAGCAATCTGTTTCATGTAGAAATCCGCAATCTTTTATGACGATGAAGAAAAATTTGAGCTGGAAGCTCTGTTTCCAATACGTCTACCAATCAAAGAAAGATTTGGCTTGTTTATGATACTCTCCTGGGAGTTCTTTCTTTATGCTTCTCGAAGAAAAGCGTTTCCCGTAAAATTTCCTTACTGCATTTCGCGTCCGTAAGCCTGACAATGCCGTTTCGAGCTAACAACTACAGTCCTTTTTACAAAATTTAACTTTAACGGAAGGTAAGTATAATCTAAATTTTATGTGTTATTCAAAACAATTATTAGTACTATTCGGTTTCGAGGGCCGTAAATAATCGTCAAACTATTGATACCTATAAAAATCCTAATAAATAGAAATATCTTTATAGTATCGTTAGCAAGTGTCAGTTTAACTTTTCCAAATATACTTCTTAAATATACAATTTAAAACTATTCCCAGCTCTTTTTGGTAAGTTTGAAATCACAAACGCAATGCACACAAAAGACATTTATCAGCATCCATACATTACTTTCCTGTGGAATGCATTGCGAAAACGCACGAGGGATAAAAAACCACCCAGTAAATGTTGCAGTCATCCAATCTACCGTATGTCGTCCGTGACGAACTTTTTAATCCCGATTTTACTCGATCTTTATCTCTTTTCATGAATTATTCATGAAATTCGAATGGAGTGGGGGTTTTTCTGGAGGTATTTTACAACTACTGGAGGGATTTCGACCATTGAGGACGAAATGTATTTAATTTCTTTAAAGTTAAGGCAATAATGGTAATGCGCTCTTGCTCTTTTGGGATCGCGCTACTGCTTTTAAAGCTCAATATTCCTCCTCGTTTCTTACATTTGGATGGAACAGTTGAAATTCCAATGGACGGGGATCATGAATTCCCATTCAAAGTAACTAGGCTCATTTCCAAAATGTTTTGCGCATTTACAGTGATTTCATTGCGGGTGCATCATTGTTTTTATTGCATTCTCTCTGAATCTTTTCTTATAAAAGCCAGAATTTTGAATGTAGCAAATCCTGTCACACGTAAAAATAACAGCCTTTAAAATCTTTTTTTTTTTTTTTTTTTTTTTTTTTTAGCTTCGTCCCTTGTGGTTTTGAAAATTAATTGCACTGCAGAGTAATGCTGAAACTTGTCGCAGCATATTTTCTAGAAAAATATAGTTGAAATGAACAAGTGCTTTGTATGTACGCTCGATTGACTGCGCAAAACTCGTAAAGCTTGTCTACCTTAAGGGAATAGATGTCTTTGTGGAGGAGTTTCTAATGGAGTAAAATGATGGAAACAGCCAGTGAAGAAACATATTGCGTATTTTGACAATGCCAGTAATGACAATGTTTTATTTCTGTCATTATAACAACTGACTTTTCTAACTCTCAAAAATGTGGCAAATTTCTTTGTAATTCTAAAAGTCGTATCACAGCTCTACCATTTATGACGATTATTTTGCAGAGAGTAAAATTACATACTGGAGTAGTGGCAAGAGGAAGTTTTGAAAACGGCATCTAAAACATAAAATGAACAAAGTCAAAAGAATTAGAGGACTTACTCAAAAGAATTATAGAGCAAAAACGAAAATCTGAGTAGAGCAGGATGAAATGACTTGAGTTGGATGTCAAAAAGCAAAAACCGTAGCCAATCAAATTGCAACACGCGTAACTAACGGCTTTGAACATCCAGTTTTACACCAAATTGAACCCGGAGATTCTTTTTAGAGTTTTTGGGCTATACAAGTCGTTGTCCATATCAGGGGTCGGCAAACTACGGCTCGCGGGTTTAGAGCAAGTGATACCATCGAATCTCCGAGTTCTGCTTTAGCAGCGCATATGGTTTTATTCATCAATCTGTCGGTGTTTACCGACTATCAGCGCTCTTGGATATTTTCTTCTTTTCATTTCAATTTATTTATTAAGCACCGTTTCCATGCTTCAAGACCCGCTGAGAAGAGAAAAGTGGACTTCGAATGTCGTGGATTTAAAGCAGAATGGAGTGTGAATTATTTTCTCACAGAAGTCAGTAAAAAGTGTTACGTAATGATATAATAGTTATGCGAAAAGAATGCAGTATACGTTCGTCATTACCAAAATAAGCACTTCACATAATATTGGAAATTCACAGATAATGAACGCTCGCTAAAGATGAAAACTTTAAAACGGGCTGCTTCATCACAGCGCAATTTATTCATAAAAGTAAAAAATTATGATGAATCAGTAGCTAAAGCCAGATTTCGAATAGCTCGCTCATTTAGCTGTGAAATGGAAACCATTTACTGATGATGAATTAATTAAATCATATTTGCTTGTGGTGGCCGAAAAAACGTGCCCAGAGAATAATGGATTTATTTCAATCTTCCAGTCTTTCGGCGAGAACAACTTAGGAAAATTGGGGACATCGGAAGCTATATCCAGTGTCAAAATATATATGTTAGTTGGTTATTGATGAGTCGACAGAGGTTTCTGATACTGCCTAATTGCAGCTGGGCTCAACATTTAGTTTGAGGTGATTGAAGAATTTGCTTCTATGAATAGTCTTCATGCAACAATCGTAGGGAAAGATACCTTTAAGGAAGTCGAGAAACAGTACAATTTTCAGTTAAAATCTGTCGCAACTGATGGTGATAAAAATTTGTGTGGTACATTAGGAAATT